ACTTCCAACCGGGCCGGTCCACGTGGCGAAACTGCTGGAAGTTGTATATCGATACTTTAATCTGAAATAATAATGTAGTAAAAATCAAGTAAATATTCTTCTTACGGATGCTCAGTTTAAATCTCCTTAACCAAATCCAGTAGAAAGGATTCTGTTTTGCAATTATCTGCAATAATTAGGTGGTTTTTTAATTGCCCCAACATCGTTTTGAGACTTCCCTCAGTACAAGAAAAGATGTCTTTTGTGACAAACATTTATCGCGACAAAACAACAAATGATCATGAAAAGTGTCCCGGTAAATGCAACATTTGTCAACGTCTAGATTTACAGCAAATCCCACATAAGTGTCGTGGAAGCTCTACTAACAATGGACGCTTTGCTCACCCGCACATTTTTTTTCACGTGTGAAATGTTAAAAATAACCAAAATCCAAATCAATAGAATATTTCTTCATATATTCTTTTTTTATTATTAATCAAGAATACTTCACGAGAGATTAAGTGTATATGTTTGTTAAAAACTCCCTGGCCCTGTGGGGCTATTTTGGAAATTCAAGTAACAAAATACAGGACCTAGACAAATATCTCAAGTGACAGACTGCAGGTTTTCTCTTCTGGTAATGCAGTGCAATGAAATGAAATAACAAAAAACTCACGTACGTACATCAGATGAGCTTCCACTTTGCTGCAGAAAATCCCATCTGATTGTTATGTTGGCATATGGATCTAATGGATCATACCCATCTGCATCATATATTAATTGTCACCAAAATTTCAACAAATGAATTAAACAAAAATCTTAGAGATAGGGAGAGAGAGAGAGGTAGCTAGTTACTTACATGATAATCCGAAGGAGTTGATAAGAGAGAAGATGAAAACCAAGAGCAGGTTCATCTTTTCTCCAAATTCAAAATCTCCAAATTGAACTGCAATAATATATATCCAGACACTTGAGAGAGATTATATTCTCAAAAAGCTAATTAATCTTTTTTTCGTATGTAATTTATTATTAGTGTGAGATAATGCAGATGACGATGATCAATTTCTAAATTAGTAACTCACAGTCACAGTCACTAGTGCTGGATCACTGCTGTATATTGCAATATGAGAAACTTTTAAGTGTGCTCGGAATATAAGGTGGTTCACCATATGTCATTATATTAGTGAAGGAAGTTTTATCTTTCAAGTGTCTTTTCACTTGTATAATGACATATGATGTATCATCCTTGGTTCCCGGCACATTGAAAAATCTTTCATTGCGATATAAAGAGATTTTTCAGTGTGTTCGGAACACAGGATGATACATCATGTGTCACTATACAAATGATGAGATATTTGTATTAAAAAATTAACAACTTGAAAAATAAAATTTCCCTCCACTTATATAATAATACATGGTATACTATTCATGTTTTGAGCACAAAATAAAAATTTCTCTTGCGATATATAGCTAGCTAATTCTTTGACCCCATTAATTACTAATTAATAATTAAGTAAGATTCCTCTCTTTATAAACACCATGTTTTTAATTAATTGCTGAAACTTGAACTAAATAAGCAAGCTTGCTACACAGCACTATACATATTTGTTTGTATTTTTACCCAAATATAAAATATGCTTCACCAGTCGGTCTGCATTATTGGGCTATCTAGCCAGGGGACCTTATTAGTAATTAGGGTTTAGGGTAAAAATTATTTAGACAAGAAAGGACATTTATCAAATAATAATGATGGAATCGGAACCTGAATACATGTAGGATCCTCTACTTGTGTCTTTTGGTGCTCCATGTTTTGCAGGTGTATTCAAAGTTACATTTGAGTCACTTAGTACTACGGTCGAGTGATATTTGAACCACATTATTATTAGCCAATTGTGAAGCTTAGTCCATTCTCTCTCATTCTTTTAATGTAGATAATATCATTTGTTTAAAAAATGTCCAAATAAATAAAAAATTGAGTGTAAAAGTTATTGCCCACACCAAGTAGAAAGAAAATATGTCATTCTGACAAGAAAGCTATGATCTATATTATGATTACAATCATCTTCGATTCACGTGCTCGAGAATTCGGTACTCAATATAATCATCATTTGATGGGAAGATATGATGTAGTAACATCTAATAAGCATATTGATCGTCAAATATTGATTGTACAATATACTTATAAATATTGTAGTCAGTTCATACTAAATAAACCAAATTAGAACATTCACATTTAAGTATGTCCATTGGACTGTGAAACAAAAAACTCAATGCAGACAGACCTTCAGTCCACATACCACAGAAATCGATTGTCAGTTGACGTAGGTTTCTTTTCGTGTCTAGAATTGGACTTATAAGGCAATAGTTCAGCGGCATGTAACATCTCTTGTCAAATAACACACTATCAAGCGTAAGTTTTTTTCTACATGGTAATGTATTAATAAATTAAGACGTCATATGATGGTAAACTCATTTCATATAAATTGCTTTTTCAAAATTAACGCAAGTCATAGTTTGATGTAAGGACAAAAAACACAACACGCTCACACATGCGTAAAAATATATGAAATTTGTTTCTATTATTTTTTAATTAGGGGGCAACCACATGAAAAATAAGCCTGCAAATAAAAGCAATTTCCAGATTCAAATTTAACGCAAATATAACATAAAGGGTTGTAAGCTCACCAGATTTCAGAGACTAGAAAGACAAAATTCATGAGAAAATCAGCATAGAAACAAATATCCAAGTACCATCCCTGTGTTCATTCCATGTTTGCAACCATTTTAGAGACAAGGTTGCTGAAGTCGAGAAAACGCTAACGTCGTTATCAAGCTTATACGCGGATATATAGGTATATATAGAGAACCCCACAGTGCCCGGGAAGCACAAGATAAGGACTTGGATTGTCTGCCCTTCCCATCTCATACCCTTCTCATACCCTCCTATTTTTGTGGTCACGGTTAAACCACGTCAAGATTTTATATTCCCATTACATTTTGTCTTATTATTTCTATAAAAAAAAATCAATATAAAATGTTGACGTGCCTTAACTGTAACCACATAATATAGGAGGGCATAGGAAATGCATAGGATGGTGAGGGCAGACAATCCAAGTTCGACAATATGTGCAAAAATTTAAGAACAAATTTATACAGATATGGAAATAGTGAGTCTCAGTTGCAGATGAATTCCCGTCACTGGCTTCAGGTTAACTCAGTTCATCCCTGAGATGGAGCGAATATGGGCAATCCTGGAATTGAAAGAAGGTATTAGATGGGACATTATATTATATTGCTTGCAAACATGGTGAATACGATAATCAACGAAAAAACAAAACAATAAAATTGCAAGAAGGTAATTTATTATTAGTGTGAGATACTGCAGATGACGATGATCAATTTCTAAATTCAACAAGGTAATTTATTATTAGTGTGAGATAATGCAGATGACGATGATCAATTTCTAAATTAGTAACTCAGCCAGAGTCACTAGTGCTGGATCACTGTATGTTGCAATATGATAACATATGATATACCATCCTTGGTTCCCATAACAATGAAAAATCTTTCATTGCGAGATAGATAGATTTTTCAGTGTGTCCGAAATACGGAATGGTACACTACGTGTTACTATATAAGTGATGAAATATTTGTATTAAAAAATTAACAACTTGAAAAATAAAACTTCCCTCTACTTATATAATGATGCATAGTGTACTATTTGTGTTCTGAGCACAATGAAAACTTTTCTCTTGCGATGTATAGCTAGCTAACTCTTTGACCCCATTAATTAATAATTAATAATTAAGTAAGATTCCTCTATTTATACACACCATGTTTTTAATTAATTGCTGAAACTTGAACTATATAAGCAAGCTTGCTAGACAGCACTATAGATATTTGTTTGTTTTTTTTACCCAAATATAAAATATGCTCCACCAGTCAGTCTGCATTATTGGGCTATCTAGCTAGGGGACCTTATTAGGGTTTACGTTAAAAATTATATAGACAAGAAAGGAAATTTATCAAATAATAATGATGGAATTGGAACCTGAATATATGTAGGATCCTCTACTTGTGTCTTTTGGTGCTCCATGTTTTGTAGGTGTATTGAAATATATATTTGAGTTACTTAGTAATACGGTCGAGTGATATTCCTCTTTACTAGTAAGTGAGAAGTCTTTGGTTCGATTTTTTGTCAAAAACAAATTTGAACCATATTATTATTAGCCCGTTGTGATTTAGTTTACTCCATCATCCCTTTAGTGTAGATGATATCATTTGTTAACAAAAAGTCCCATTTGAATAAAAATTTTGAGTGTAAAAGTTATTGCCCGCACCAACTAGAAAGAAAATATGTCATTCTGACAAGAAAATTATGATCTATATTATGAATACAATCATCTTCGGTTCACGTGCTCGAGAATTTAGTACTCAGTACAATCATCATCCAATGATCAGATATGATGTAGTAACTTCTAATAACCATATTTGACCGTTAAATATTGATTGTACAACATGCTTATAAGTATTGTAGCCAGTTCAGACTAAATAAACAAAATTAGAACTTTCACATTTAAGTATGTCCATGGGACTAGGAAACAAAAAACTCAATGCAGACAGACATTCAGTGCACATACAACAGATGTCAATTGCCAGTTGACAGGTTTCTTTCCGTGTCTAAAATTGGAGGACTTATATGGCAATACTTCAGCGGCATGTAATGTCTCTTGTCCAATTACACATTATGATGCGTAAGTTTTTTTTTTTTTTTCCACATGGTAATGTATTAGAACGTCGTATAATGGTAAATCTATTTCATGTAAATTGCTCTCTCAAAATTGACGTATGTCATAGTTTGATACAAGGACAAAAAACACAACGCACTCACACACTCGTAAAAATATATGAAAATTGTTTCTATTATTTTTTAGGGGGCAACCACATGAAAAATAAGCCTGAAAATAAAAGCAATTTCCAGGTTCAAATTTAACGAAAATTTAACATAAAGGGCTATAAGCTTCACCAGATTTCAGAGACTAGAAAAAACAAAATTCGTGAGAAAATCAGCATAGAAACAAATATCCAAGTACCATCCCTGTGTTCATTCCATGTTTGCAACCATTTTAGAGACGAGGTTCAAGAGAACACGCTAACGTCGTTATCGATGCTTATACGCAGATATATATAGGTATATCTTGAGAACCCCACAGAGCCCTGGAAGCACAAACAATATGTGCAAAAATTTAAGAAGAAATTATACAGATATGGAAATAGTGAGTCTCAGTTGCAGACAAATTCCCGTCACGGGCTTCAGGTAAACTCGGTTCATCCCTGAGATGGAGCGAATATCGGCAATCCTGGAATTGAAAGAAGGTATTAGATGGGATTGCTTGAAAAAAAAGGAGAATATGGTAATCAACAAATAAACAAAACAAGAAAATTGCAAGAACGATAAAAGAAATGATACCTTTAAAGATCATTGATGCCGACGTCTTTTGACATTGTCCTCAGAAAATGACTGCCAGTTATGGTGATCAAGGTTGCTCAAATCATCAAGTTCTGCAATGGCAAGCAAGTATGTTGTGAGCTTCAAGAGCTCCTGATCACTGTCTCGACTAGAATGGGCCTTCTTGAATGGCTTGATGATCAAACCATTTTGAGGGTTCATCACAAAGTTTCTTCGCAGATCATCAAACATTATGGTGTTTTTTGAACTGTAGAACTGAGTATAACAAGAAATTGCTAGTCATCAGTCAACTGAAAGTTAGACAGCAAATGAAAATTGCATTACTCGCATACCAGACATTGAAATTTAACCCGTCCCAAAGTAACTACTATTACTAAAAAGACAAAATCATTACTGTGTCTGAGACTCTTAAAATGATGGTATTCCATCTAGAAAAGTTGAAAACAATTTAAAAAAAATCCCCCTGTAAGTCGAAATGGGGAAATTTATAAATGACATTATTTATCTTCATATGATATGCAAAGGAGATAGCAAACTCTCAACATCACTCAGAGTTTATAAATAAATAAAAGGGAAAAATGAGCAAAAAGCGATGGTTAACAAGTACATTGTTCCATACCTCAGGGAATTTAGCCCAAATCAAGCCTAATGGCTTGCAATCAAAGGTTCCACGAGACTCGCATTGAACTGTGATCATTGCCATATGGTCTAGAAGAGCTGTGATTTTGTAGTTGGGATTGCTCAGCACTCCAAGCTGACCCATCTTCAATTCAACCCATTTCATGCTGTATAAATGAAACATATAAGAATTACTACACAGGTGCACGTACCCAATTTGTTTACTGAACTTAATATAAAGTCCATAGTTATTATTATCGTCACAATTCCCTGTAATTTACAATCAGAAAAAGAAATTTGAAGCTCTTGACTTGCTAGTCTACTTAATCTTTCACATATGCCATCAGGCCCATCACACAAAACAAAGATGGGAAGAAGACAAAAGGATTGATGCAAATTCACTTCAACTTGAATTTAAACCTTTTGTATGTAAGGGGAAAAAAGCCCTAAACTGTTTTGTACGAGTCATTTACTTTCGGAAAGAGTTGATACTTGAGTAATGAAAAGAATATACAGAAGATCTCTCAAATTCATTACTCTTTTCAACATAAACATCTTCTCTAAAATTTACGCACACACATATTTAGCATAACCTCTTCAAAATCTGAAGTCCAAACTTAAGGTATAGCAACATAACATGGTAGAGTTTACGATAACAGATTAGATCTCATCTACTTTGATGCTAACATACATATGCAGTTTCTGGTACTCGTGATTCAAACAATTCATCTGACAAGAGATAATAGAAAAAAGGAAGGTATAATACCAATTTCAAAGAAAATTTCTGTCAAAGAGCAGAAAAGAATAGAAAGAGAAAGACAAAATCAATTCAACAAGATTGAAAGGAAACGATCCCATTTCGATATTGAATTCAATTTTATAATGATTGAATTTGGGTAAACAACTATATTAGTAACCATGATGAAATCGAGGTGTTTAATTGCTTCAATTGAAGCCATGGAAATCCATGTGCGAGTAACTATAAATGAGAGTTTATTACAGGATATGAAAACATCCACACAATGCACTTCCAATGCTAAACAACAGTCGCCTAGGCACGTTTAGAAAATGAACATGATACTTAATAACACTGAAACAAAAGAGGGAATATATCTTTGTTATAGAATTCCTTTAGCATTGCATTTTCTAACTGACAACTTACCTAGTTGCAGACCATATCATGATGTCATATTCCGCATAAGCAGCTGTAAGAAACTCGTGAAGAACTACAAAACACAATGTGTGTAAAGTCAAATGAAAGACACATGAAGACTCTTGAAAAGTAAAAATTTCATACGAAGAAAGAACAACTGACAAGGCCGCATAAGTTGAAGCGGGTTCTCTGCTGTGGACCGGTGATCAAACAGAGTATAATCAATATCCAGCACAAGCAGTTTCTTTCCTTCCCGGCAAGGATTTCGAAGTTCAATCTACAATCCAATTCACATAATAAAAAAAATACATAAAAACAAAGCAGTAAATCACATTCATCTGCAATCAAAAGTGAAAGACGGAAACTGCTAACCTTATATTGATCGACACGCCTCCTCAACTTGTTGGCATACTTATCTTTAATCTCAACAGCTTCATCTTGGGCAATCTCAAAATCGTCAACAATCTCCGGAGACTCCACCGGATCCACTATAATATCATCCTCCATGGTACTGATTCAATTCCATTGCAGAAACATTTTATCAAACACCTGGTGTGCATAAATATATAGGCATTTAAACATGGGCAAATGATAGACGGAGACTTACCCGATCATGGTCATCTTTTGGGAGGGCTTGAAGGGAAGAGAGGAGAGCAAAACGGTGTCGTCGGCGAGCTTGGACGGGAGGAGTTTTGGGTAGAGAAGCTTTTGACGTTTGGGCAAGACGGTGGTGAGTTGGCAGATGCGGCGCTTCAGCTCGCCCACCGTGTCGTCGCCGCATACTCGAACGGTGTACTCCTTTCCGCTCCACTTCACTGTCAGCGTTATCTCCTCTTCTGGCGACGATGGCGTTGAGGTTGAGGTTGAGGCTGCGCCTGCACCTGCTACTCCTGCCATTGCACCAACAAATTGCTTTCTCTCTCCTGAGGTTTGAAGTCTAGAGAGAGGGGTACCAACAGACGCTACTTTTCTTCTTTTTATATATATTCTGATTTTTATTCATTTTCCTTTTTCATAGACTTTCAATCAAATTTCCAGCCCAACCCAACTCACGATACATAGGCATGAAACGAATTTATTGTCATTTGAATATTAAATTTACTTTCTGGAAGAAAGTATTTAATGTCTTTTCAGAATTCGTTTGAATTTTTACTAAGAATTGGTTCTAAAAGTACTTTCATTAAAACATTTTCAGTCATTTTTAAAGCGGGTAATATTAAAGAGACAAAACTTGCAAACTAAATGATGTGTCACCAATACAAAAAAACACATTTATCAACGTTTAACTAATAATTCAATCGTTAGCTTCCATATCATTTAATTTACAAAATTTAATCTCTATATTATTACTCTTTAAAAACGCTTCAAAACAAGCTCTATGGAATTAGTGTAAATTGTCGATTTGTCATTAAACCGGGTTTGGAATGATTCTCAAAATGGGGCATGATGTCTCAATTTACTCATATTGCACCGTAAACTATAAAAATGGTATTATTCTATGTCTTTAATATGATTATTTGTATGACAAATATTAAATCGATGACGTGATGAGTTTGAGACTCTTATATAAGCTAACGTGTGAGCCGCATCTGCACCATATTGCCAAAAAAACTCATCAATTTATTAGATGATTAGAGGTCGAAGAGACAAAAGAAATAAATTGATATAATTTTAAAATTCCAAGATGTAACGTGAGAAAATTGAAACCTCATAACTCATTTTTAAAATCGTCTCAAACTTGGCTTAGACTTTAAATTATATCAATTTACCCTCTAAAGTTAACTCCTTAGAGTATTTTTTCCAAAATAGCAAGTCCTTAAATTCATTAAAAATGTCAATCTACCCTCTAAAGTGTATCTTGCACAAGTCACTTGACTTAAATTTACAAAAAAAAAATTTGATATAATAACTTCGAATCTTACAGTATGAAGAAAAATGATAGTTTATGATGAATTCTAGAGGTTTTTTTTCTCAATAAAAGTAATCTATGGACTTAATTTCCAACTGGATAGTAATGTATGGACAAATGCCTAATCAGTAATCACATTTGCCCCCTTCCAAAGGGAAGATAACAAAGTGCATCCAACTCCATTTTTAGAAAGAAATGACAGTAGGTGGGTTACATACAAAGTGCCTCCAACTCCATTTTTAGAAGATGAAAAATTGACGGACAAGGAAACAAAGAAAAAAGAGCTTCGTCCTCTGTTTCCTCATCATCGTCGCCATTGTTGTCACCGCACCTCCAACCAGCTTCAACATTGTCACGGTCCTCCTCTGTTTCTTCACTTTCTTAACATTTCTTCACTGTCCTCTTCTGTTTCTTCACTTCCAGTTAGGTCTGAGCATGTTTTGCTGGCTCTTGACATTCACACGTTTTCCGGCATAGGCATCTTGATCACTGGCTTCATCGATCTCGTTGCGAGCCACATCAAACACATGGCCAGGATGCATTTTCCTATAATGCAGTTTAAGCTTGTCTTCATGGATGTACGTCTTACTACACCCGTCATAAATGCAAGCATAAGGGCGATCCGAGGATTCTTTGTCATAAGGAGGCTCGGGAGTTCTGATTTGCTTCTCTGCAAGTAGGATGGCATATTTTGGCACACAAACTGGCTCGTCGATCTGTAAAATCAGTGTTAATATTGAGAATCAAGTCATACTTCCCTATGTTAAGAAAGTCCAGAAAAATAGATGTATGACACTAATATCAGCGATCATAAGGTCCAAATTTTGGCCTTGTTTTTCAGATTTTTTTGTTAGAAAGAACTAAAAAGGACCTTTACCTGCACTTTTTTTCGAGACTCACGAATTTTGTCTTTGGACTGATGAATCTAGAAGAATCGGATTTCAATGCTTACGTAAATTGCTAAACAAGACTTTTGAAGCTCTAGTTTCTTACATTAGTGAAATCCACATGTCAACTTTTATACTCCATCATAATAAAACATTCAAATTTATGGAAAAAAAAAAAACATATTTGCCTTCATGTTAAAGGCATCATACGTCAAATTAATACTAGTTTGAGACACAGGTATAAAACATTCACACACTATTCCGTACCAAAAACAAATGAAGACAACTTCAAATATTTCATAAACAAGAAAAGTGAGGCAGGAATAGCAAACCGTTTCATGGTAATCGACAATGTGGTTTTTAAGCTTGTACTCATATGCAAATCTCCTTAGACAGGCTGGGTATGGACACTTATAATAGTTGTCTGCTGAATGTGTTTTCATGTGGTACCTAAGGTAGATTTCCAGGGAGAAGGCCTGCACAAGTCATATTCGAAATTGATTATAACACGGAAAAATCAGTTATGCATGTTAAACAACCACAAACAAAGGAAATTTATGCCCGAAAAAGACATCAAATTTATGAAAAGCACAGAATGGTTCAAGTAAACAGCTAGGATGATACTACAGTGATGGTGACAGTTTTTCTGCTTGATTGCTGATTGGATGTGTAAAACTAAATACTTGTATCACAACAATCATTATCTTAAGCAGCCATCGTTAATGCTGGCCAAAACTGCAATTCATTACCAGATTCTATTTTCCTTTAAGTAGGGTTCTAAAATCTAGCATCAAATGTGAAGAGCGGCAATTTAAAACAACAATTCAAAACCTACCCACTTGTAGGGTCTAGTCTAGCCTATATTAGACATACTACTCTGATTCATTCCAAAACGGAATGTGAGCTACACACATTGAACTAATAAAAAATAAACAGAAGTTTCAGCAGATATCATTGGTACGTTGAGGATATGTTTGATATTCAAATTACTTTGCCAGTGTGCACAGGAAACTAACTTAACATAGCAGGGAAGAAGATAAATTGCGTCCTTCAAACAGATATTGTAATCGTATAGTTTGTTGTGTGTGTTGTTTTGGGTGGGAGGGTTTGAAAGACAGCTAAACCGTTAAAACTTCAACATTAGATGGCAAGAGAACTTGAAAGAAAACGTTGTAGTAATGGATAAGATGATACCTTGCCACAACCTTCACGAGGACATACATAATTCTTTTCTACGGTATGAATATGAAAGTGTCTTGTCATCTTTGAACTATCCAGAAATTTCTGTAACATTCAAAATATTATTTTTCAAAGTCAACTAAGATATAAGAAACTCTGCCGGAATATCAGATATATCCTTGCTTTAAAAGTACCCACATTAGTGCAACAAGAAACTATAGGAATTGCACATTTGGGACTGAACAAGACTTTACAAATGCCAGGAAAAAATTATTAGACAACTACATAAACAAAAACTTTCTTCTTGTTTTTTTGCTTTTGGTTTTACCAAATTAAGAAACTGACAACTCTTCTCCATTTCTTTTGACTTTATAGTAACTTGCTATCTCAATCCCATAGCTTACTCTATCTGGAAAAAATACCTTTCCACAACCCTCAAACCAACAAACATGTTGTCTCTCCGCATGGATGTCAGCATGCTTCCTCAAAGCACCAGCATCAATAAAGATCTTCCCACAGCTGTCATGGCTGCAAAGAAAAAGCACTTCGGTTGTTGGTTCTGGCTCTAGCTCTGGCTCTAGAGCCATTGTTTTCTTTGATTTCTCGTCCAAAGCCTCTGATGTATCTGCTAACGAAAACAGAAAATGAGAAAAATCAGTCCAAACTCATATCATAGGAACAAAGACATACAACAGAACATGCTCGCCCATCATGTTAATCCAACATGGCTCTCTTAAGCCTAAACTCATTAGTGATTCAATAAGTCTTAGGCCAAAAGTAAAACTAACGTGTTTATAAATCTAATGCATCACTTAAATGACATATCAAGAATTTAATAACTATTAAATCAGATGTTGGGCAGTGGAATTTAATAGCTTTGCGGAAGCGAAAACACTGAAAACATAAACTTAAACAATAATAAAGGATAACTGGAATCGCTCCAGGGGCATCACACCCATTCTTGGCCTCTCACCAAGAATTTTGGCATCTCACCAAAACAATCCCATCGCAGGATAAGAATTCCAATCTCTGGAAAACCAAACTTTTCTATTCATCAACTCTTCATTCGTTCAATCTGAATTACAATGGGGGTATTTTTAATGGCTTATACCTAAAGAACGCAGGAAAGTAAACACATTGGAAAGAAATCCTAATCCAAAAATATGATAGAAAACCAAATCTAATCCGAAATACAACTGGAAAGAATTAAACCTTGTAAAATAGGAAAACAAAATACTAAAACCCTAGAGAATAAGAGACAAAAAAAACCTTTGATTAGCACCTTCCATTTTGGTTCCGCATTAAAGTACGACTTAGAAAACACTTCAGAAGTCAAACCATAAACTTACTAAAGCAGAAGGATCTCAGTTCAGACACTAATCCCTACTGATTTTGAAGAAATATCAACTTGGGAGAGTATAATGAGTGAAAGTGCGTAACGTATGTATTGGCACTGACCGAACAAGAGCACTCGTGTATACTATTACTATGATGCAAATAAATGGCCTTGATGTACATTTTAATGGCCTACGAATCATGTAATACTACTATTATTTACAAAATTACAAATCAAAGAAAATAAAGAAAATTGAGTAGATAAGACTTCTATGACGAATTACATCAGTCATAGCTCGAATAGCATGTAGAACTCACACATCAAACCGAAGGCAATACTAATTCCATATCTTTATCTCTTTTTTCCTTTTTCTGTTTCTTTAAATTCATAAACACTTACCAATTCATTATCCTTCTCATTCATATAACTCGTACTACAACGTAAAGTGGTTTAGAAGTATTTTCAGGAATCACCGTACAGAACATGGTAGGGAAGAAGTACCTTTCACCCACTTCATTAGAGAGCACTCTCCACCTGTTGCTATGACATCTTGTGGAACCCTGACCACGATTTTGTATCAAGCCATTAGCCAAAGGTAGGTCAAATACTTCAAATTATCCAAGTGCAGCTATCTTCTTTCTTTTGTTATGAGAGTAATGCTT